ATAAATACATCTACTAGAACCACCACCAACGAGTTCTCTAGAATCATTGGAAAATCGAATAGACCACAACTATTTAATTAATTATTTGATGAAAAATCAATAGTTATTAAAAAATTATGATATCTACTGTTATCATTCACCAATTTTACTATATCATTACTTGCCGCATATAATTCACCATTGTCAAAATCTAAAATTGTTTGGTAATCTTCTTCAACATCAGTCTTTGCTAGACATACAGATGGTGTTATACTACTGTATGCTATCCATTTATTATCATTACTTAGATTAGCATCCGTTATCGTCCATCTTCCAAATTCCTCCTATTATTGTTATTAATAATATTGTTAACGATATTACTAATAGTGATAATAATAACACTAGTACTAGATATTAATTTACCCCGCTGATAACTTTAATTTCTTTAGGATCCTGTGGATCATTTGTATCATATATGCGAACACGAAAATCTTTACTACAAGAGTAGAATAATGAGCCATCTTGAGAATATTGTCCAGAATATGCAGGTTCAGCATATCGAAGAATCACTTTTCCATTAGTGTTTGGAATGAATTTCTAGTAATGTCGGATTACTATTATTATTTGACTATTAGATTTTAAGGTTTTTTCCTTCCACACACACAAAAAACAATTAGCTTACTTTTCTAAATGGTAGGTTAGAAATTTCTCTTGGAACCAATTCACGTAACAATAATTGACTACAAATATTTTTTGAAAATAGTTTAATTCCATTCAATGTCTTTTCGTGCGAAGGACCTATCTATATATGTAAATATAAAATATCAATCCAATTAAAAAAATGCCCAACAATTAAAAATGATTTTCTTTCGTACATACTTTTGCACATCCAAATTCACCAGAATTGAGCAATCTTTTACCAGAATTAAATTCACCATTTTCACTATCATCGTCGTCATTATCAATAATATTACTTGAATTTGTTATTTCTTCTTTAAATTTATTGAATTTGATTAGATTTAGATCAAATGAAAAAAATAATTCCAATTATTATTACCAATTGAATAGTCGAAAAGATTAAATAAACTCATATTAAATATTATAAAAAAGTTCAAATAGCATCCGGAGCCTGATGGGTCAATACTTAAAAATTTATTTGAGCTTCTTATTGAAATATTGATTGGAAAAATGATACCCTTAAGAAATATTAATGGATTTAATCACGATTTTCAGTCCAGTACTTTTCCAAATTTGGAAATAACAAATATTGCAATGATCAACATCCTAAATAGTAAATTTGCACTACGTAAAAATTTGATTGGCTGAAATTCCGCCTTTTTCTCCTTTTCTTTTCTCAAAAACTCACATAATATGAAAAAATTTAACTGTTCATAGAAGGTCTCATGGATGTGTGTTCCCATAATCCATCAAAAAACCCATCAAAATCCATTTAAACAAATATTTAATTTTTTATTTGAATAGAATTTCATGGGTTTTTTGATGGATTATGGGAACACACATCCATGAGACCTTCTATGAACACTTATCAAAATCACATAATTTTAAGGAATGTTTGTATGATTTGAATATTCATGAATATGATGATTGTGATCACTATCTATGAACAGTTAAATTTTTTCATATTATGTGAGTTTTTGAGAAAAGAAAAGGGGAGAAAAAGGCGGAATTTCAGCCAATCAAATTTTTACGTAGTGCAAATTTACGTTGATCATTGCAGTATTTGATATTTCCGAATTTGGAAAAGTGCAGTGTACAAAAAATTTTTTTTGCACATATTGTTTTTTGCAGTTTTTAAAGATAATTCGTATTAGAAATTTGCTCGTACAACATCCAATGCAAGGAATTATTTATAAAATTTATACTCTATTTCCCCTCAAGGCAAGTATCAAGTGGAGCTAGTTTAAAATTATTCTCCACCGCTCTATTCTCTGATCGAAAGGAAGCACGGACATGAAAGTCGGCCAGATATACTTACTTGGTATGGGTAAAAAAGGTCTTAACTTTCAATGATGAAAAAAGTAATAAATAACTTCCCAGAAAATGCCTATTTTTTAGACGCATTTTCCGTGGATATTTATTATTATAGAATGATCTGCAAAAATATACGTTTCTTTTTTTTTATAGTTTTGAAGTTTTGAAATGATTTCGAAGTTTTAAAATAGTTTTGGAGTTTAAGAACAGTTTCAGAGTTTCGAAATAGTTTATTTAAATAAAAGTTCAATCATTTGGTGTAATTGAATTCTTGAATTAATTATGAATAGATTTGAATAATACACTCGTTTTTGTTGTTATTTAACGAGTCATACAAACGCAAAGAATTTTTATGTAAAATTAACGGACAATGTTCGTTTCGGGAAATTTATTATACTAAATCGAGATATCAGCATCAGTGAGTAAATTTCGTCATGTAACTAGTATAAATTTAGAAACCATCTCCACAAAAATAGGATCGGCTTATCAAAATTCGGTTTATGATACAAACAGGGCTAGCAGCGTAAAGGATTAAAAACCTAATTTAGTAATAATCATCTTGACTAAACTTTAGCTAAATTTGAGTTACGCAGAGCTGGATACAAAACGATTTTTATTGATTGTTCAAAATAAATTCGGCTTACAACGTTATAATATCCTCGTCTTTTTATTAGAACTTGACATGGTAAGTAGAATTGTTGGGTGATCGACCATTTTTAAACCGAATTTTATCATTATAAGACGAATTTTTAAAACCAGTTTATGATCATATTCGGCTTAGAAAGTTATATTTTTATTATTTTGTACAAACCA